TCGGCGGCGGGCGAGGGGGGGAGGCGAGAAGGACGGGCGGTGTCCCCCGGGGCCGCTGGCGACCCGAGGAGGGGGAGGAGGAGGAGGAGGAGGAGGAGGAGGAGGAGGAGGAGGAGGAGGAGGAGGAGGAGGAGGAGGAGGAGGAGGAGGAGGAGGAGGAGGAGGAGGGGGGGAGGAGGAGAGGAGGAGGAGGAGGAGGAGGAGGAGGAGGAGGAGGAGGAGGAGGAGGGAGGAGGAGGAGGAGGAGGAGGAGGAGGAGAGGAGGAGGAGGAGGAGGAGGAGGACGAGGAGGAGGAGAGGAGGGGAGGGGAGGAGGAGGAGGAGAAGGAGGAGGAGGAGGAGGAGGAGGAGGAGGAGGAAGAGGAGGAGGAGGAGGAGGGGAGGAGGAGGAGGGGTCGCCTAAGCCCTTCGGAGAAATGGCCTCCTCAGAAGACGGCGGGACTCCTCAGAAGCCCTCGCGCCTTCTGAGAAGTATTGGTTGTGTCTTCGCGGAAGGCTCAGAGAAATTTCTCGGAAGGCCGGAAAACTTCCGAACCTTCTGAGAAGGCCTTCTCCTTTTCACTTCCCCCCCCTCGCTCGCCGCCGAAGCACGCCCTCCCGCGCAGGCGCGCACGCGCGCGCCTCGACGAGGCCGAGCGGGAGGGAGGGGAAGGATCCAGGAGCTGGGGCCCCGGATCGGGCTGGGCACGGGGGCGCCACCACGTGGAGCCCCGCACCCGAGTCGAGGCCATCATAGGCTTCTTCTCAGGGTGAGGCACCAATCGACCGCTGGGATGAGTACCATTGGCTCGCCCACATTCGAAGGAAGAGCATCATACGCCGCCCGCCGTTCTCTGACACGTGATGAGGACACTACAGACAGTCAGGTAAAGTTGGTGACTAGGACTTGCCTGCAGTGGAAGCGTGGCTGAATCAACGCATGACCAGGGTCTGACCCTCAAGAAGGTGCACGGGCGCCGCCGGGCTGGCTGGGCCGACGGCACCTGGCCTTATCTGGCACCTTCGTGCGATTTGGGACATCGGGCGGAGCTCTCGAACCGCGCAAACTGACACGACTGTCTGTAATTTACCAGCCTGGAGCATATCCCTATCCCTAAGCTGGGCAACGCCTCATCACAATGCCAATCTTAGGGATTCCATTAGTTTGTCAGGGCGCATCCCTAAGATTGTCATCGCCTTTTTGCGTGTCAATCTTAGGGATAGGGATAAGTTCGAGGCTGGTGAGTAATGGGGCCTTTGAACTTGATCCTTCGACCTCTCTCTGGGGTCGCAGGTCCAGGATCCAGGCTCGAGGCTCCTAGGGGCCGAGGGCTGGGGATCGAGGATCGGGGGCCGAGGGTCGAGGGCCCAGGGTCGGGAAAAGCAAGGATCAGGGGGTCGAGGGTGCAGGACCCCGGGGTCGAGAGATCGAGGATCTGGTGATCGGGGGCCCCCGTTCGAGAACCCAGGGGTCCAGAGGTCCAGGATCGGGGGTCGAGGGTGCAGGACCCACGGTCGGGGATCGAGGATCGGGAGGTCGAGGGCCGAGGACCCAGGGTCGGAGATGGAGCATGGATGCTGGAGGGTCGGGGGGACCCGGGTTCGGGGAGCGAGGATCGAGGAGTCGATCGTCGACGGCCCAGGGCCCGGAAACGAGCGTCGGGGGCCGAGGGCCGGAGTCTTTAGGATTCGGGGGTCCAGGATCGGGGTTCGAGGATGGACTCGGCGCTGAAGATCGGGAGAGAAGGGGCAGCCCCTTGCTAAACGACAGCGTCCGGCCGAGGCGCCCTCGCTCCTCGCGATCAAGGACGGAAGGCTCCACGGCTGCACGGGTGGAGGACGTCCGCCGCGTTTCTTATCACCGTACAATCTGGGGAAGCGGGTGCCACGGATCGAGCGGGTGCCTGTGTCACAGCGTGGCTCCCGGCTGAACAGAACCCCGGGGTGTGCGAACAGTGCCCCGTCACCGTCCGTCCTCACGGCCAGAAACACGGGACGGCCGCCCCTTCTCAGAACGGGGCCCCCAGCCTGCGTTGCGGGGACCACGGGGAGCTCGTGCTTCAAGGGGGCACCCCCCGCAGTGACAAGAACGGAAGTCTTGCAGGGGCTTATAAGCGGGGGCTTGGGACGGCCGGGCGTATTGCAGCATCGTTGAGAAAGATTTGCATGTTGGACTTGCTATGGTCTTGCCATTCCTCCTCCTCTTCCTCCTCCTCCTCCTCCTCCTACTCCTCCTCCTGCTCCTCGCCGGCTTTCTCGGCTTCGTGCTCCTTCGTCTCCTGATATCTCAGGACAGCTTCCTGCAATCGTGACACGCGGCAACGAAAGCAGCCCAGCCCAGGAGGGGTTGCTTGTTGGAAACTGTCGGACGTACTTGGGACGGCCCGCTGAAGATCCCTCCCGCTGACATCCCCGACGCTCCCGAAGTCCAACCCTATTGGCACACGAAACCAAGACACGCAACTCCCGGATACGGCCAGCGAGAACACAACTTCACGACACGGAACAAAGCTGCTGCGAACGCCAACAACATTTCAAGTCTTCCACGAGGTATGCGAAGTCCAATGGTACCAAGAAAGCCCACGACGCCTCGATACGGCCAAGTATTTTGCGGGAGGTCATTCGCAATACAACGGCAACAGTGAAGTCCAACTGGAGTAGATTGGCAAAAACATGCTGCGGGAAAACGAGGACTGACAAAGTAAGATGGAGAGAAAATGATATGTGGAGAGACCGCGAGGGAGAGGTAGCGAAAGAGAGAGGAAGAGAGAGAGAGAGAGAGAGGATAAGAGAACGAGGGGGGAGAGAGAGAACGAGAGGAATGAAAGAGAGAGAGAGAGAGACACTTGAGTAGCATGGACAGGAAGCGACGTGAAAGAGAGCGAGCAGTGCAATAAGGCAACTGGCAAAACACAGCACTGAACTGTATTGGGCACTAATAGAGCGCATGCCTGCAATCTTCATGTCATACGCACTACTAGGCGGTGGCACGGTGCCTTTGTGGCGCTCCTGCCCAAGGCGACGCCCAGGAATGCGGCAAGAGGGTCCAGCTGAGCGCAGATGCGCTGGCAGCGGCCGTCCTCGTCAACTCCTGCCCCGCACCCAATCTTCAAGATAATTCTAGCACTCCGCGGTGTCACTCACATTCATCATGTCCCAGACCTCCTAGGAAAACTACCGCAACACAAATAAAGAAAGCAGGACGCCATGTCAGAGGCCCAGCGGACAGATAGAGGATAAGAGATCTTCGTCGGCAATGCAAACCATGCAAGCACTTCGAACGGGGGATCCTGCACAAATGAATGTTGCATATCTCACGCTCCTGCCGTTGAAACTGTTCTCAAACAAACAACAGAACCATCCCCACCAACAACCAAAAACTTGCAGCATCCAGCAGCCGAGGCCCCATTGGCAAGGGAGCGCTTAGCTGGCACGTACACCCAGAAGCGCAGAAGAGACTGGCGACAGCTGCACGCCCGGCAGCATCCAGGGTGGCAAGGTCTCATTTGGATCTGCGTGGAGGGGGGGCACTCTGATGGACCACATAGGGACACAGTAAACGGCGACAGTTGCACTCCTCGGCCTGCGTCAGAGGCGACGAATTGCATCGAAATGCTGGCAGTGTCCATCGACATCGAGCCACTGCCACGGCATGCGCGCAGTCTCGGGGACCAGCTCGCGGCAGAACGCATCGAGGCCAGGTTGGGCCATAAAGCTACCCGCGCCGCGCCCAGATCCAGCCTGGCCCACGCCTGCACTGCGCGGGACGAGGAAAGCTCGCCTTGTGCCGTTTTGGCAGCGCCTACCAGCTCACTTCACAGCAAGATTTCCACGGGACGTGCACGAGAGGAGGGGGGAGGGGGCGACCCGATAAATTAAATTCAACATGGCCCCAGCATGCTGCCACGAGACCTTCAGACAGCCATTGGGCAGTAGCCCTGGAAAAAAAGTTGGGCCTACCCCCCGCGACCCCCGGCGTCGCTACCGCCCGCTGGCGCGGCACCAGCGACCTGGCCTCCGACGACGCCGCCGCCAGCACCTAAGAAAGAGAAGCCAGCAACGCACGGTCTGTGCAGGGCGCGGCCGCCGCCGCCGCCGCCCCAGGAGCATGGGCAACCTAGCCAGAGCAGGGTTGTTGCGATGCCCCAGTCACCGTGCCACCCGCATGGCCCGCGCGGAGCCCCAGTCCCCCCCGCCCCAGCCACCGAAGGCCTAATTAGCGCAAAGACGAGGCGCAACAGCGCAGCGCCCTCAACGAGATCGCCGGGGTGGACGCCCTCGCGGGCGCGCCCTCTCGCGCGGCCCCGCCAGCAAACACGAGGCCCCATCAGAAGGCGGCACAAGCGGCACCGCGTCAGCGCGGGCAGAAGGAGGGCGCGTGCGTCTCCATGGCGCCTGAGCGAATCCATGAAGGCACTGTCAGACCCCCCCCCTGCCGCCAGCACGCTGCGCCACCAGGACTTTTCCTCTATATATATATATATATATATATATATGTATATATATATATGTATGTCCTTTTTTTGAAAAAAAATGCCTCCACGGCGCGCGCGCTGGGGACCGCCGGCGCCCAGGCCGCGGACCCTGCAGCCCAGAGCTGCCCAGCGCAAGCCCGTGGAAGCCTTGCAGCCGACGAGGGGCAGGCGGTGGTGTTACCCAACCCTTCCCCCTCCTGCTGTTTCGCAACCGCCGCAAGCCTGCCGACCCCACCCTCCGACCCCACCCGCCAGGGCGCCCGGCTCTCCCCAGACACAGGCCAGGTGAAGCGGCAGGTCGACCCTGGGGGCGACGAGCGGACCCCGGGCAGAGGCAAACAGGGCCCAACAAAATTTGGGGGGCGCCCCGAATTCACTGCTTCTGCCAGATCGTATCACAAGAGACCCCTTAAGTAGGCGTCCGCGGGGTGAAACACTGAACGAGAGGAGGGGCGGGGGGAGACACGAGAGTGAAGGGGGGGAACACAGCGAGGGGCCTCTAGTCCAAGCGGCACGGGACCCAGCGAAACGCGCCATATCACAGCT